TATTTATTTCCTTTCTTTTTCATTTCTGTTTTGTGTAGGGAAACTAAATTGGATCATTCAATCACCAATCCCTGTGGAATCGACCTCGCACTTACATACGCTAAACTACCAACGGTTCGTGCACTTGCGAGTATCACAAGTTGAGGATGCAGCTTAATCCATTTTGGTGCAGCGAAATCCACACAACAATGATGTGGTGGAAGCAGTTTTGGCTTTCTTTTGAACTGGGCATATTTTGAAGAAAATTAATCATAACCATGTTGTGTTAATCCCAAAGGTGGCGAGCCCCGCTCGAATGACGCAACTACAACCGATTTCATTATGTAATGTCATATATAAAGTGATTTCGGAGGTCTTAACGAACTGCCTGAAATGGGTGCTTCCCCACGTTATCAGTCCGAATCAGACGACATTTGTCTCTGGTAGGCAAATAACGTATAATGTCTTGATTGTCCATGAAGTGCTCCACTCGTTGAAGACAAATACATGTGGGTCGGAGTATGATGTAGTAATTAAACTTGATATGGCGAAAGCATATGATCGTGTGGAGTGGCCTTTTCTGCTAGCCATGATGCGGGAGTTGGGTTTTGCGAACCGCTAGTGCGATTGGGTGATGGGGTGTCTCATTACTGTATCTTACAATATTATGGTGAACGGTACGCCATCTGGTTTTATCCAGCCCCAACGAGGTTTGCGGCAAGGGGACCCATTGTCCCCATATTTGTTTTTGATTTGCACGGAGTGACTGACTTCGCTACTACATCACTTTGCGGGGAGGGGCTTGTTGCATGGTATTAGGATGGCCAGTAGCAACCCGCCTCTCTCCCATATTTTATTTGCAGATGATTCGATCTTATTTTGTAAAGCTACTGAAGGAGAAGTGGATATGGTTAATAACATCCTTGATTTGTATGAAAAAGGATCCGGTCAGCAAGTTAACTTTGACAAAAGTTCTCACTTTTTTAGTACTAATTGTTTGCAAGGAGCTCGTTATTGTTTGGCAAGACGATTAAACATTTCCCATGGACGGGGTTTTGGGAAATACTTGGGACTCAAATATGAGTTTGGGCACTCAAAGAATGAGGTGATTGAAAAGATCAGGGAGAATGTGGCAGCCCGTGTGCATGGGTGGGGGGATAATTTTTTCTGACAATGGCAGGTAAGAAGGTTTTTGTTGAAAGTTGTGGCACTTGTGCTCCCTACGTATACTATGTCTTGCTTCTTACTTTCGAAGGGCATGTGTTACGATATCCTTCGACCTCTCGCTTCCTTTTGGTGGGGTAGCCAAGGAACTGGTAAGGGGTACATTAGGCAAAGTGGAAGAAGCTGATACAAAGGAAGGAATGTGGGGGGCTTGGTTTTAAGGATCTATTTTGTTTTAACCGAGCCATTCTTGCCAAGATTGGTTGGCGCTTACTATCGCAGTCGAATTCCTGAAAAACCAAGCACTTATTATAAAACTGTTGAAATTTTCATACCTAATCTAAGTGATTCCTGAAAAACCAAGCACTTAGAGTGCTTCTTCATAAAAAATAAAAAAATAAAAAATAAAAATCTATAATTGATTTCCGACAATGCTGCAAAAAAAAATTTCGCAAGGGGGCCAAGCTAAGGAGAGCTAATCACAAAGTACAAAGTAATATTAATGCTAAATGGGCAGAAAGGTCGATGATCTGTATTGATTTTGTTTAATGTTGGATTACATCAACTTTTTCTCTATGTTTCCAGCTTATATGATGGGATACTGAGTTAGAAATAATTAAACTTCATCCCATTTATCTCCTTCTTTGAAGAGGAGCAACTGCTGCTGCACAAACTCAGCTTTCAGAGCTAACCACATTTGGGAATGATTCAGAAAATACATATTAAAAAACTCTTGTTACAAAACTTGTGCAGTCTCATTCACTATAATCTCAAAGATCTTTTGATTTTTACACAATTCACCCTTCAATCTCCAATCTCCAATCTCCATTTGCAACTACAAAAATATAACCACTTTTCTCTGCCAATGATCACTTTATGGTATTTTGTAACAGAGAAATGTATAGTAGTAGTAACCCCAGAACTCTCTGCCAAGAACTGCAAATAAACCCAACACCTAACTTTCCAAATCACAATTCTAACTTTCAGTTAGATCAAACAAATTCGTAAATTAGTATCCAACTTTCCATACTCAAGCCAGCACAAGATGAACCCAAAAAGCATATTCAATTCAGAGAGTTAAAAATTAGTTTGATTGATAAGTTTATTCAAGAGAGTGGTCAGCAGGGCATCTCTCCTCTCAGCTCTGCTCTCTTCTCTCATCCTTCTCTGTTCTTCCCTCTCCCTCCAAGCCTGCTCCACCATTAACCTCTCCCTCTCCACCTTCTCCATCTTCTGCCGCCATTCCTGCTCAAACATCCGCCTCTCCTGCTCCCGCCTCTCCATCATTTCCCTCCACTCCATCTCCATCCTCTGCTGCTGCTGAAAAAACGCCTTAAGCATATCCTGGATACTACTACTACTAGTCCCACTAGCAGAATTGGTTGCTTTTGGCATAATTACTCTTTCACCCTTCCTCTTCTTATCATCCTCATCCTCTTCATCTGGGTCCTCTGAGAACTCATCCGAGGATCGCCCCGGCCTCAATTTCCTCTTCCCCATTTTCTTGGACCGGGCTGAACCCGTCTCGGATTCAAGAAGTAAGCGCTGCATATTATTTGCTCTTTCAGTAAACACTGCCTGCAATTCCTCAAAGAAGGGACACTCCCGCCCACTCTCCGGATCAGACGTCTCCTTCCCCTGAATAATTAGGGTTACTAACAATTGTTTGTCATGTGAATTTCAACCTAAACCCCACCAAAACCCAAAAATAATTCAATTGGGTATTTTTGTGGTACAGCGAATTCTGAAAATTCATACCTTGTAACGAATGAGGAGGTTCTTCCACTTGCATTTGCACTGCTCGGGGGTTCTGTTGAAGCCTCTCTCGGCCATCTTAGAGCTCACTGCTTCCCACAGCGCCTTGCTGCGATTCGCCAAATTGGAGTTCCTGATCTCCAGTTCTCCACGGATGGCGATCAGCTCCCTCGTCTCCTCTGGGGCCCACTGTCCTGACCCTCCCCCTGCAGGACTGGTCATCATCTTCTTCATCATCCCTGTTCCTCCACTTCCCATTCCCATGCCCTCTTCCTCGTCTCCTCCTGCCCCATACATCTCTTTCCCGCCCTACGACGTCGTTGCTTCTTTGCTCCCGGAACAGCAGTTCGGGTTTGCCCTTCGATTTGATTGTTACTTTTCTTTCCCCGGTCAGACCTCGCTATCTCTTCTTTGTTTTAGAGTGCTGCTGTTTTCACCTATGTCCTATTTTTCTATCATCTTTCTTCTCACACACCGTGTAAATTTGAAATAGCACAATCTTTCCACCCACCATTATTTTTAAAATAAAAAATTAAATAAAACCCATGGGTTTATTAAAGATCAATTTAGATTCATAGTTTGGGTTTTTATTAAAAAAAAATGATGGATTAATTACATTTTTTGTCATTGAAGTTTGGCTCAAAATCAAATTTAGTCACCGTGATTTCAATTTTCTTAATTTGGTCACTGTAGTTGCAGTTGTTAACAAATCAAGTCCAATGTCTCAATTCTGCCAATTTCATTAATTAAAAAAATATTTCATATTAAGTTCAAAATAATTAACTTCAATATAAAATTAAGTATAACATATTTAAAAAGAAATTAATATGATTAAAACTTAAATTGAAAAAAAGAAACAAACAACCAAGGTGGTTGGTGTGAGTGGTTCGGCACTCTCATTCCTTAAGAGAGGTCAGGGGTTCGATCCCTGCTCTCGTACGGAGTCACCACTTTGGCCAACACTTTACCCCTTACGGGCCGACCCGGTGTGAGTGAGGATTAGTCTGGGTTGTGGTTAAAGCTTAAAGGTTCCACCCATAGTTGGGGCCCATTCAGGACCACCTCATGGTTCATACAAAAAAAAAAACAAAAAAACAAACAAATAACCTGCACATCCTTCTCGCTCTACCTTCGTCTCCCCCTTGGCCATCTCTCAGGGCAGCTTCATTGTCTAGGTCCACCTTGAGAAGCAGGAACTACACCATTTGAATAGGGAGGGTGAGGTCGAAGTCGAAGAGGGGTGCCTTCTCTATCTTCTTGGCGAAAGAGGGTGGGGCCCAGGAGTGAGGTTGCTGACGACGACAGAGAGATAATTTTGGACTTGGTGAGTTTTGGGAGGGTTGGGATTTTGGGCTCTTATTCCACGATTAAGCAACAATTAACAACTTTCTTCTTCGTCCTCTTCTTTTGGTGCTTCTCCTTGTTGTTGGTACCCTTGAAACAAACGGAGAAGGTGAGAGAGAACATGCGGAAAGATGGCAGAGGGGGAGGGGAGGGGTGGCTACAGGTTATTTGTTTATTTATTTATTTTTAATTTAAGTTTTAATCTTATTAATTTATTTTTAAATATAGGCTTTTTATCACAAAATGTCCTTGACGTTTGTGAAACTATCAGATTGTATCCTTAAAGTTTTTTTGTATCACTCATGGTCCCTAACGTTAATATGGGTGCTCTCAAATAGTCCCTCCGTCAAAAAAATCGTTAAATCCCCAATTTTATGAGGGATATAATCGTCAGATCAACTCCCTTTTACCTTCTCACCTTCTCACCTTCTCTAGCAGTTGTCAGGTTTTCACAACCCTTTCCAGCACCTCAAGTGGTATCACAACCTCCTACTACACACAATTCTTCATCCCAGCAAGCCTCAACATCACAAACTGTCCAAAGAAGGAAGTTAAAGTCTCCAGCAAAGAAAGGAAGGCCATGGAGAGTTTGAGATGATGTTTTATGGAACTGTAATTGGAAAGAGGTCTAAGGTTTTTGATGTATGATATTGTTTTTTGATGGAAGCTTTCTAGGCGTTAAAGTGATGGCACTGAAAGTGGTTTTTGATGGAAGTGGTCTAGGATTTTTGTATGTATGGAAGTGATTTTTGATGGAAGTCTTGTAGGGGTTAATGTGATGGAACTGAATGTGGTTGATGATGTAATTGAAAGTGATTTTTTATGTATGGAAGTGGTTTTTGATGTATGCAGTTGGTTCAATTTGTTCACAGTGGTTCGTAGTTTAGTTTATTCAATTTGTTCAACGTGTGTTGTTTATAGTGCAATTTGGGATCATGTTCTTCCCTTCCATTTTCATCACTTGTTCTTCGTCCAGAGTAAGACATTCTTTTAGCATGTGAAAATGGAACACTAGCTTTAATTTCCCTCCAATTCCAACAAGAAATGGAGGGAAATGGTTCCAAATTGGTGGCAAATGGGTCTGAGGCGTTGAAGAGGTCAAAAGGGATTGATTTGATGATTATATCCCTCATAAAATGGGGATTTAACGATTTTTTTTTATTGAGAGACTATTTAAGAGCACCCATGTTAACGTTAGGGACCACAAGTGATAGAAAAAAACTTTAAGGATGCAATCTGATTATTTCGCAAACGTCAGGGACGTTTTGTGATAAAAAGTCTTAAATATATTATACTTCAATTTTATATTGAAGTTAATTATTTTTAACTTAATATTAAATATTTTTTTATTAATGAAATTGACGGAATTGAGATATTGGACTTGATTTGTTAACAACTGCAACTATAGTGACCAAATCGGGAAAATTGAAATCAGAGTGACCAAATTTGATTTGAGCCAAACCCTAGTGACCAAAAATGTAATTAACCCAAAATTTATTAATGGACATGCTGAGTTGGATAGTTTGACTTTTCTCAATACCCATTTTACCCCCAATAATGTCCCTTGTTGCTTCTTTGCTCTCAGAACAATAGTTTGGGTTTGCTCTTCGATTTCATTGCTACTTTCTTTTCCCCTGGTCATACGTCACTCTCTTCTTTGTTTTAAAGTGCTGCTATTTTCACCTTATTGAGATCCAAAAATCCAGGGGGTTGGGCCCGAGTTTATTCCTAGCCCAAGACAAAGATTGGATTGCAAGTGGAGCCCAATTGGGACATAAGGGAACGTGAAAGACGCACTTGCGCGAGCCTTGAGCCACGTGTCACACCAAGCAAACATGCATGCCCACCACGCAAAGGGGACCACGCACTAGCTCTATAAATTCACGCCTACTAACTTATCCAATACTACATTACCCGATCATAGCTTATTGTGGAATGATGGAACCCAAGCACAAGCATGACAAATAAACACGTAATGCCATGTAAAGGATAGTTAATCTAATACCATGCCGTGCTACAAGCTTAAGTGGGCCCAAGCCACATAATCACCCAGGGCTTGCTGAGAAGGTTGTGGTATGGACGAGCACAAGGACTCACAGGGCCCATTGAGGGTCCAAAGAATGAAGGTTTTAGGCCACTTGGGAGCACTAAAACTCAAACCCATTCCTGGGGCCCAAACACATGGGTTAGCATGAGAGAGGGAAAAATGTGATCCAATGCCTTAGGAGAACATCTCATAGTCTGTTGTAGCACTTAGACAATCTCACGTTAGTTGAAATACCCAAAGACAAAACAAATAGGCCACTTCCAGCAGCTTGGCGAAAACATGCAGGCCGTTGGAAAGAGAAGACTAATAACCCTATACTGTAAACAAAGCCCAGCCCAGAGTCTGGTTAAAAAATCTAGCATCGTATTCCACCCTTGTCAAAGCTTCATAACGGTCAAACAAAAAGCCATCGCAAGAACCAAAGGAAATTCATATGTGTAGAAGGAATACCCATTGGACATACAACTCTATTTGTTCCTTTTTCCTCTGCGAGCTGTAGTTTGAAAACCAAGGAAGAAAGCAGGTGGCACCTCACCCCCATGAGGAGGTTCAGCCGCATAAAAACCTTGTAACCCCAAAGAGCTTGTGACCCATGCGCTCTGGTTGAAGAGATTTCACAAAAAAGGAGTGAATGGAAAGAAGCAAAGGAAAACTGGGAATGGAAGATCGATAGAATTAGGGTTCTAAGCACCTATAAAAGGGAGCTTTCTCTACCCAGTGTTGAGGCCCAAAAATCGAAGGGCTAGGCCCAAGCTTATTCTTGGCCCGGCACAAATAATTAGTCGCAAAAGAAGCCCATCGGGGCATAAAGAGAAATCGTAGGACACACCTACATAAGCCGTGGGTCATGTGTCACGCCAAGCAAGCATGCGCGAAAGGGCCAAAAATGCACCGGCTTCATAAATTCACGCTCATCAACCTATCCGATGCTATTTGATCCGATCACGGCTTATTATGGACCAATAAAACTCAAGCACAAGCACGATAAATAAACACGCAATGCCGTCAAGCCATGCTATGAGCTCAAGTGGGCCCAAGTCATGTAATTACCTGAGGCTTGCTGAGAAGGTTGTGGTATGGATGGGTACAAGCACTCACAAGGCCCATTGAGGGTCCAAGGAATGAAAGTTTTAGGCCACTCGGGAGCACTAAAACTCAAGCCCATTCCCCGGGCCCAAATACATGGGTTAGCATGAGAGAAGGAAAAATGAGATCCAATGCCTTAGGAGAACATCTCATAGACTGCTGCAGCACTTAGGCAATCCCACGTTAGTTAAAACGCCCAAAACAAATAGGCTACTTCCAGTAGCTGGACGAAAACATGCGGGCCGCTGGAAAAGAGAGTACCAATAACCCAATACCTGTGAACAAAGCCCAGCCCAAATCCTTGTTAAAAATCTGGCATCGTGTTCCACCCTTGACAAAGCTCCACAAACAGCCAACAAGAAGCCATTGCAAAGAACAAAGGAAATCCATGTGTGTAGGAGGAATACCCAATGGACAAACAACTTTATCCATTCTCTTTTTCCTCTGCAAACGCTAATTTGAAAACCAAGGGAGAAAGAAGGTGGTGCCTCATCCCTATGAGGAGGTCCAGCCGTATAAAACCTTGGAACCCCAAAAAAACCTTTGACCCAGGCGCTCTGGTTGAAGAGATTTCACAAGAAGGAGGTAATTGGAAAGAAGCAAAGGAAAAGTGGGAATGGAGGATCAACGAAATTAGGATTCCAAATGCCTATAAAAGAAAGCTTCCTCTACCTAGAAAAACCCACCATTCCAGAGCATGACCAAGCTTTGTCAAGCAAAATTAGAATTTACTCTAGGCACCCCATCTTCTATCGTTGTTTTCTCTCTTTCTGAGATAGAAGTCCTCCTAATCTTCCTTTCTCAACTCTAAATCTTTTCCTCTTGAAAGAAATTCATGCTTTTATCTCTCTCTCAAATTGCTAAACTTGTGTAGGCTTAGCTCCCATGCCACAAGCTCCTCAAGCCAAGTCCCTTATCAGTTTGTCATGCTTATTAGTGAAAAGAACCTGAAAGTGTTTTTTCTAAGGTTTTAGCAAGCTTTTCTTAAAACTATTTT